ATAGATATCAGTAAGAATGAACATGAAATTAACGCAGAGCACACTTTATCATCATGTAAGAATGAAAGAGAATGTTTTAAGAGACGTGGTAAAAGAAGGGGAAACCAACATAAATGGAATTGCTGCAATCTACATATAGTAGATATCAACATACGCTGCTACTGAGAACATCTCAACTATTAAGTTAGTGGAATTTATGAATGTGGTCTTCTGACAGAAGGTAATTAGATATTTAATTAAAATTTTGTATATAACTCTATTTAAATTTTATTATAACAAATAATTCAAATGTTGCAGACACCAGGCCAATAATATGGTGATTCAAGGCATTGTTATATTATCATTGCTAATAACGCAGGCGTTATGTTCACCAACTGGATGTATAGAATGCAGTTCTTATGTTAATCAGTTTCATAGTCAATTATCCGCTGCTTCAAATCATGGAAATTTGGCACAAAGCACATCTCAATTGCAAGGGCTTGACTATTCTAGACCCGGAACATGGACTGAACACAATGACTACAATGTGAACAATGGAAAAGTACATGAAGAAAAAGGACAAATTGTTGATGGCCTTAAAACTGTAAGATATTTTAAAAAAAATTATTCATCTTCATATGGTACAAGGAATCCAAGTGGCACAAGACTGTCGGAAATCGCACAGTTAAATAATAATTACAGACATGGTATTTATATGCCCAGTTCAGAAGATGCTTTTGATTCTCAGAGGACACATAATCAAATAGGTAATTTGGAATCAATTGCACAACAGCATGACTATAACAGAATACAGAGTCAACAACATACACAATCATCAGTTAGAAGAACCAACTCGCAAAGTGAAAGGCTAGAAGATTTTGGAGAACACAGTGGAAATTCACAAGTGACACAACAAAGTGCATCTGATTTGAACACTCAGGTTTTACAACAGCCTTCTTATGCTATTACGCAATCTGGAAATTCTTATAAAACCAATGGAGGACAAGGGCAAGCTTTCGAAGAAGAAGGTCAATATGTAAGAGGACCTAAGAAAGTTCGTTATTATAAAAGAAATTATACGTCCAGTTACAGTTCATCTAATGGTCATTCTGTTCCTGATATTGCAAACGTGGAGGAGGATAATGTACACAGAGATTTTGAAAACATTCACAGAGAAACAGGAGTAGACCATATATATAAAGATATCGAAAATATTCACAGAGAAATTGACAAATCTTATAATCAGGTATCTACTGCACAGGGTATAACATCTAGCAACACTCCTCAAGCAAATATTAATTCAAATGGTGATTTGAACACTGATAGTTTTCACAGGTCAAATAGTGATGTTTATAAACGTAGACAAGATTACAAAAGTAATTTATCTAACATGCACCATAATGAACAACAACATCATGAAGACATTGCAAATGAATACGCCTCTCAACAAAATCCTTCTCAAAGCACACATAATACAAATACTTACAGAGCATATGGTAGACGTGAAGGGTATGTATTAAACCCTCTACCATCTTCACAATATATAAATCCTACAACAGGATATACTAATGTGCTTAGCACAGGAAATAGTGGATACAATAGAAACATGTATAGTGAAGGAAACTTACTACAACAAGCAGACAATTTGCATCAAGTCGAACATTTAGGTGAACATCAATCATCACATAGTCAAAATCACATGGATCTTGACAATTTAAAACAGAATACATATAGTCAACATAGTTTCCTAAAACCAGTTGCGCCTGGCAGGGTTTCACATTATAACGAACAATGGAGTTCCAGTCACAGAGAAGAAACATCTCTTCCCAGTTATTCATCAGGTATTTCACAAATCAGTGGACAGAATGGGCAATACAATAATCAATACAGGGAAAATAATTACAATACTGTGCATCAAACAAAATTGGGAAAATTAATGACTGGAGCAATGGACTTAAGTCACGCACATAGTAATGATGACTGTACACAAGGAACAGCTGAACAAAGCCACATCAGTACCCAATACCATAGAATATACAAACGAAACGCCAAAGACGATAAGTTAAATAATGAACCGCAACACAAACACCAATTTGATGATCTCACTCCACAGACAGAAGATTTAACACAAAGAACAGATGATTTCAAAGACCTCACACAACAGACATCAAGCCAGATTCAATTTGAACACAGAAGACAACATTCAGGACCACAAATAATTTATTATTTGAGACCAGGAAATTTTCAACCTTGGAGACCAAGAAATGCCAACCAATATTCTGAAGACTCAACACAACAAACTGGAAATTATGACGACCACACACAGCAGACAACAGGGCAGTCTCAATTTGGACAGCAAACGGAACAAACTCATCAGCCTTGGAGACCAGGAAGTACAAACCAACATCCTGAAGATTTAACACAACAAACTGGTGATTTTGATGACCTTACCCAACAGACAACGGGGCATCTTCACTTTGGACAGCATATACAACAGTCTAATCAACCTTGGAAACCAGGAAGTGCTAGCCGACATCCTGAAGATTTAACACAACAAACTGGTGATTTTGATGACCTTACCCAACAGACATCTGGAAAGCTCCAACTTGGTCAGCAAGCAGAACAATCTAATCAACCTTGGAGACCAGGAAGTGCTAGCCAACATCCTGAAGATTTAACACAACAAACTGGTGATTTTGATGACCTTACCCAACAGACATCTGGAAAGCTCCAACTTGGTCAGCAAGCAGAACAATCTAATCAACCTTGGAGACCAGGAAGTGCTAGCCAACATCCTGAAGATTTAACACAACAAACTGGTGATTTTGATGACCTTACCCAACAGACATCTGGAAAGCTCCAACTTGGTCAGCAAGCACAACAATCTAATCAACCTTGGAAACCAGGAAGTGCTAGCCAATATCCGGAAGATTTAACACAACAGACTGGCGAGTTTGATGACCTCACCCAACAGACATCTGGAAAGCTTCAGTTTGGTCAGGAAACGGAACAATCGAATCAACCTTGGAGATCAGGAAGTGCTAGCCAACATCCTGAAGATTTAACACAACAAACTGGTGATTTTGATGACCTCACCCAACAGACATCTGGAAAGCTTCAGTTTGGTCAGGAAACGGAACAATCGAATCAACCTTGGAGATCAGGAAGTGCTAGCCAACATTTTTTGATGACCTCACCCAACAGACATCTGGAAAGCTCCAATTTGGTAAGCAAGCAGAACAATCTAATCAACCTTGGAAACCAGGAAGTGCTAGCCAAGATCCTGAAGATTTGACACAACAATCTGGTGATTTTGATGACCTCACCCAACAGACATCTGGAAATCTTCAGTTTGGTCAGCAAGCACAACAATCTAATCAACCTTGGAAACCAGGAAGTGCTAGCCAAGATCCTGAAGATTTGACACAACAATCTGGTGATTTTGATGACCTCACCCAACAGACATCTGGAAATCTTCAGTTTGGTCAGCAAGCACAACAATCTAATCAACCTTGGAAACCAGGAAGTGCTAGCCAAGATCCTGAAGATTTGACACAACAATCTGGTGATTTTGATGACCTCACCCAACAGACATCTGGAAAACTCCAGTTTGGACAACATACAGAACAATCTAATGAACCTTGGAGACCAGGTAGTGCTAGCCAACATCCTGAAGATTTAACAGAACAAACTGGTGATTTTGATGATCTTACCCAACAGACATCTGGAAATCTTCAGTTTGGTCAGCAAGCACAACAATCTAATCAACCTTGGAAACCAGGAAGTGCTAGCCAGCAGCCTGAAGATTTAACACAACAAACTGGTGATTTTGATGATCTTACCCAACAGACATCTGGAAATCTTCAGTTTGGTCAGCAAGCACAACAATCTAATCAACCTTGGAAACCAGGAAGTGCTAGCCAGCAGCCTGAAGATTTAACACAACAAACTGGTGATTTTGATGATCTTACCCAACAGACATCTGGAAATCTTCAGTTTGGTCAGCAAGCACAACAATCTAATCAACCTTGGAAACCAGGAAGTGCTAGCCAGCAGCCTGAAGATTTAACACAACAAACTGGTGATTTTGATGATCTTACCCAACAGACATCTGGAAATCTTCAGTTTGGTCAGCAAGCACAACAATCTAATCAACCTTGGAAACCAGGAAGTACTAGCCAGCATCCTGAAGATTTAACACAACAAACTGGTGATTTTGATGATCTTACCCAACAGACATCTGGAAATCTTCAGTTTGGTCAGCAAGCACAACAATCTAATCAACCTTGGAGACCAGGAAGTGCTAGTCAACATCCTGAAGATTTAACACAACAAACTGGTGATTTTGATGATCTTACCCAACAGACATCTGGAAATCTTCAGTTAGGTCAGCAAGCTCAACAAACTAATCAACCTTGGAAACCAGGAAGTGCTAACCAACATCCTAAAGATTTAACACAACAGACTGGCGAGTTTGATGGCGTCACACAACAGACATATGGAAAGCTCCAATTTGGTCAGCAAGCAGAACAATCTAATCAACCTTGGAGACCAGGAAGTGCTAGTCAACATCCTGAAGATTTAACACAACAAACTGGCGAGTTTGATGACCTCACCCAACAGACATCTGGAAAGCTTCAGTTTGGTCAGGAAACGGAACAATCAAATCAATCTTGGAGACCAGGAAGTGCTAGCCAACATTCTGAAGATTTAACACAGCAATCTGATAATTTTGATGACTTCACACAACAGACAACGGGGCACCTTCAATTTGGACAGCATACAGAACAGTCTAATCAACATTGGAGACCTGGAAGTGCTAACCAAAATTCTGAAGATTTAACACAACAAAATGAACATGTTTTACAAGTATCTGATATTAATGGGAGCACAGGTCAAGTGTTTCCTAAGCCGCTTGCTAAACCTGCTAGCAAGCCAAGACCCAGGTCTAGATATTCAAGAGTTGGGTCTGTAGTCAATGTACCTCCTGGAAGTCATAATGTTCAGGACTCAAATAATGAACAACCTTCCCAACCCACTAATCCCAACCCACTCTTGGTAGAAGCTCTTAATCATTCTACCGACAAATCTGCAGATAGGTTGTCTGAGTTACCACCAAAAGTTGTTCCAGGAACTGATGCAGATGGACCCAGAAGTCAAGATATTAGAGGTGATCAGAGTGTCGATACATCTGAGAATAGCGATAAGACTTCAACCCAAAAGACTGAAGGTAATGTATTTAATATTGATGGTGGTGGCATGGATGAGGGAAACTGGTTACACAAATCTAACGATGCTACTGTAGGTTTACAGTGGCATTACACATATCATCCCAGTGATAGAAGGCCGTTGGTGCAACAAGCAGATAAAAGAGATAAAGGCGATGCACAACAACAATCAACTATTCCAGATTTTCATGATTCTAATGGCAATACAGATCAACAGCAAGCACAAGACAGATACATATTTGAAGACTTGTATCAACAGTCATCTAGTCCAAAAGAAGTTTCAGGACTGCATCAACAATCCGAAGATGATCAAGAAAAAGTACAATTGGAGTTTAGTCAACAGACATTAGGTAAAGCAGAAGATGGACTAAAACAAGTAGGAAACAATAATCCTCAATATCATTTGGAACCAAGAATATTAGAAGCTTATGGAGGTGGACCCTATGATGCATTCCATGATGAAAATATATATGATGGGGTAACAGTAAACCCTAGTGCTACTCTACCAGAAGTCAATACTGCAGATTCTTGGGATGTTCGAGCAAAACCATCAGAAACAACTGTACCAATTTCTGAAGCAACACCTCCACCATTACCCGTAGAACCTCTGTCACCTGATGTAAACAAAGCAACTCCACCGCCAACATTTTGGTCAAGAGTTGGAAACAAATTAACAAATACTTTTGACAAAGCTAAAGAAAAAGCTAGGAGCATCTTTGGCTAAACGCATGTAATATTGTCCATTGATATGTATTTAATATTAAATTTATTCTTTATACAACATGTTTTATCAATGTTATTTAATATATTGTTGTCTTGTAATTAATTCAAGAAGACATAGTATTACCGAACACTATTATTTTGAAATTATTATGTATTACGTTGTTATTTATATAAACGTTTTTTTTATTTTCCTTTCCTGTGCTCTGAATATATATATATAACTATAACTTTATAAATATACTTACTTCAGGTAAATTTTTAAAAAATCTAACGAAGCTTTGTTGAGTAGATGCATCTAAAACACATATGATTTATAAATAACGTTGATATAAAAAATTGATTACAGAATTTGCAATGAGTGTTACTAACCCATCTGAAATTGTTGGTTTGGTTGAACCGCCATGGTTTTATATAAATAAAACAATTCTCGAATTAAATTATATTTAAAATACACAGAAATTACAGAACAATGTATAATATTCTAAAAATTCAATTGAAAGAAATATTGTTTCACTGCACCAAATTTGTTTTGCGAAATATTTTCGTTTGTGAAAACAAAAATATTTGTATCATTGCAGTTTGGTAGTTGTACTTAAACATCACCATGAAGTTTAAAAATTACAGATTAGCAATCCACTTTATCATAAGTTTCTCAATTTGATTGGTCAATAGGAACCAGACCTTTCAGCATCCTGACCGTTCGTAGAATTTCCACTCAAGGCCAGTGTGTTCAATGGTGTCAGGGATTTTGCTTGGAATCTGCTCCAAATGGCGGAGAGGAGACCTCAGATTGGACGATTCCAATGGATTCCCATTTGTGATGACTAATTCTTCCACTCCTAGTTTCCTGGAAGAAAGTCGTAAAGCGGCCAGGATGCTAGGAAGTCTGATAGGAACAAACATAGGTTACATATATTTTTACAGTTTCGATTTCTATAAGCTTACAATTCATGACACAACACAATCGTATATACAGGGTGTCCCAAAAATGTCTCGTAATCCGGAAATGGGGGGGTTCCTGAGATTTGAAGCAACTTTCTCCTTAGTGAAAATGCAATCACGGCATTGTTTACGAGTTATTAACGAAAAACATTGACCAATAAGAGACGAGCTCGGCTGGCGCGAGGCGTTAATTCGTAAAGAGTAATTGCTATTATTATTCAACGAGACAAACTATTTCTTCACGTTTAATTTGTTATTAAGATGATATAATACATGCAACAGCTCTGATAAGACAGATAAAGTGGATATTGTTTAACAGATTCGTTAATGTTAATTAGTAGTGTGTACATACAAAATATTCGATTTGCGTGATTGTTAAAACTTTCATGGACCTAAGAATATATGGACAGAGCATATAATATATTGTACCTTGAATTATGACAAGGGGGAGCAATTCGCCGTAAGGGAAGACTACATCATGATAGTAAGAGTAAGAATACACCCTGGTAGTCTTCAAATCATGAAATGTGTCGCAATGCAAATGAAGTATACAGAATACTCGATCCTCACTAAGAAGTTAAGTGCGACATGGAAATCTTAATGGGGCTAAATTTTGGGTGACAAAATAATACATTAGGTGACAAGCATATTAATGGGTGTCAAGTTTGTTCTTATATCTCGATTGTGATTCTATGCTACATTTTAGGAGCATGAAGAGAGTATTGATGCAAAAACATAGAATGTACATAATGGCGTCATCTAGCAGAGACTTATTAAATACTAATTGACTATAAGTTTTGACGCTTTATTGTAGATGTTGCCACAATACACTTTTGACTTGTTATTAATTATTTATTTACTTCACAATTCATTTACTTTTTAATAACTTTTG